CTTTCTTATCTTCATGATGGATCACTCTGATTTTGATGAAACTTTTAATTTGATTATAATTAAGTTTAATTTAAAATGTTTCCGTTATTGCAGTTTGCAATAGATACATGAGCTACCATTTTAAAATGTATTTAAAATTTTTACGTGGAAATTGTGAGCAAAAGTTTAATTTTGTTTCCTTTAGGCTTTTGGATGCGTATGATGAACATCAGGCGCTTCTACAGGAGCAGGACTCTTTAAAAAGGAAAGCAGAGAACGGGTAGGAAGTCTGTTCACCTGAAAATTTAAACTAACCCAATAGGTTACACAGTATTGGTAGTGGGAACATGTGTTATACTGAACTATATCTGATACAAAGGATTTTGGAAATGCTTTAAAAATAGTTCAGAGAATGATCATCAGAGACTGTTTTTTAGGACCTGTGAAATGGAGAGTTACGCTTTCCTATTTCTTATAGCATTTGAATCTCAACGGTTCTTAAAATTACTGGGATCTGTATTCGCTACGTGTAAAAACAAGAATCATTAAACGCGTCTCACTTACAGCGGTCCAGTAACTTTTTTGTCTCTGACTTAAAGCTTTGAAGTAAGTTAAGTGCCATTATCAAATATGTAAAAAAGGAAAAGCTGTTAGAACTTGAATCAGTTGCAGTTCTGTAAGCCGACTCTGTCTATTCCAGCCATAGAAATAACTGCATTTTTAAGTCTCATACTTCTTTTATGGTTTATGTGTAGGAGGTTTTAAGGTATGCCAGATTGTTAAGGGTGTTTAAAACTATGAGCCAGAAATAGTTCGTATACAGACAATTTGTGCTTTAGAATAGACTAGCAGAATGCGTAGGAGGATGGAGCTGAAATAGAAATGAAGACTTTCAAATGTGGAGTTTTAATTCATACAAAGAAAGACACTGCTTTAAATTACCCCAAATTCAGCAAGTAAAACTGTCCGAACTGTTTTTAAACAACAGCTGGAATTGCCCACTAGGAGTGGGCAATAAACCTCTCTAATCTTAACTGTACAGTTATCACAATAGAGGGGCACTGTGGCTGCAACTGATTAAAAAGCCAACCCAGTCTCCTTGTACATACATACATTGAACAGAGCAGCAGTTCAGTCTTCATCTTCCAGAAGTCCTGTAAAATATCCATATATGCAACTGGTTAAATCTAAAACAAGAAATACTTGGACTAATGGCTCCTTAGGAAATTGCTTCTGGAAACTTAACATAGGCAAATTTGCTTTTCTTCAATCATCTGGGAGTGATTATTTAGGCAACTTTTATTCTGTCTGATACCTGAACAGGCATGGCCTTAGACGCTTAGGCATGGCCAGCACTTACATCCATGCTTCTAGTTACCACTACAAGGACATCACTTTTTTTTAAATCACTGAAAAGTATACCCCAGGTAGGGGTATACAACTGGCTTAAATATTTGGAAACAGACTTACTGGAGAAAATAACATTTTTAAATTATGTATCACAGAAACATTAAATAATACTGCCAAAAAGTAACAGTCTCTGAGCAGAAGCTTGATGTTTGATGTCTAGGTTTAAGAACCATAATAATTTAAAAAGCAGACCATTGTTCTGAAGCACCGTATACAGTCTTTCTCTAAATCAAATCCTGTTTTCCTGTTTGGACGGGTCACCCACCGATTTTGCAAATATTACTTATTTTTGTGTAGTAAGTGTAATGTATAAAGAAAATTTTAGAATTTAAGATACTGTTTACAAGCATATTTTAACTTTGCAGATCAGAGGAGCCAGATGAAAAAAAAATGCACCCAGATGACCCAAGTTTGGCATCAGCACAGATGATGGATGGAGACATGCAAGTCAATCAGGCAGCATACAACTATAATGCCTGGTATCAGGTAGGTATGCTTTGATTGCTTCTTCTGACGTGTTTGCTGAATATATGCAAATTATTGTTTTCTCAGCGACTTTCTTCAGTCTGTGGCCGAGTGTCAGCTGGCAACGAAAGCTTGCGATAAATTTTATAGCTCCTTCTTCCTTTTGTGTAAATTTATATCTTTGTAAGGCGGAGAAAAATTAGGAGATTATGTGGCAGGCTCTTCTCTTTTTTTAAAAGGA